TGATGGCGGTCATGATCGTAGTCACGGCTTTGGCCAACAACTGGACACAAGGGACTTTCAAGGAACTCCGAGTGACTTTTCTGCAAACCTTCTTTGCTTCTTTCAAAGCGGCTTCGGCTGACGGAATCGACGCGAATGCAGTTGCAGCAGCTACGGAAGCGGCTCCGGCATGACTTGAAGAACTAGCACCAGTACCAGACTTCAAACGAGGTTTCGGGCCTTTGTACAAGTTCCCTTTGTCATGGAGGAATTCACAATCCTTCCCGCGAGTGCATGAATCGTATGCGAAGTACATGCATGGCAGTTTTGCTTTCTGCTCCTTGGTCAGCGGTGGCTTGTCCTCCTTGTTCTTGCCTTTGCCATCTTTTCCTTTCCCTTTTCCTTTCTGGGCAAACGCTGCATCAACATTCTTGTCTTCCTCAACCTTCTTTGATGTCTTGGGCTTGTCCTCTTTCTTGACCTTTGTGTCTTGCTCTGGCTTCTTTTCTTTCTCTTTCTTTGTCTTCTCATCTTTCTTCTTCTTGTCTTTTGTCTCTGCTTGTGCCCCTCCAACCTTTGGATCTAAGCCTGCTGAGGTGAGAGCTTTGTCCATTGATGTTGTGTTCAAATCCATTTGGGATATCTCAATGGCTTCACACATCTTGCTATACAACCAACGGCTGGTTCGCTTGTAGCTACCAGTGTTTGCTTCCCGAAACTTGTCAATTGCGAGTGCCATTTTGGGGTGATTCTTGAGGCTTTCAAACAACAACGACCTCAGCGACGTTTCAGCTGGCATCTCACTAGGTTCAAGAGCGCCTACGCAAAAGTCATATCGCTGTCGAAAGTCTTCAAGTGCCTTGATATCACTACCGTTCATCTTCAAGGACAAAAGGTGGTGCTGACTAAGTGCCGTTCCGCGGTCGCGATCGAGTCGAAACTTTTGGAAGATCAACCACAACAACTTGCGACCTTTTGGTTGTTGATCATGTGTCTGACATCTCTCTTGGTGGGTCTGAAACTCCAAGGCGAATTTGGTGCCTTTTGCTGCTTCTAGCAATTTGGCGCCTAGGATTCGATCCAAGATGGGGAAGTCCTTTGCATTGTTGAACTCTTTACCATCTTCCGAGATGTTGCAACGATTGATCCAACGGAACACGACGCTTTCATCATTCTTGGCAAACTTGCAAACCCCACTGAACACTGCGTTTCGGAAACTCCGGCGTTTTGCTGCGTCTTGAGGCAAAGCAGGAATCTTTAGATAGTCATACTGTTTGATACGCATTAGTCGTTTCTCTCGTTTGTAGGGGTCCTCCGAATCGCTTGATGAGCCATCTCCACTTGGGGATTTTGGTGGTGAGTCTCCGCCCCCTCCAGGGTTTCTGTTTGAACCCTTTCCTTTCGAGTCACTTGAAGAGGATGAAGAACCACTTCCTGGCGGCGATCCGGGGACTTTGCGGCGGTCTCTTGATCGGTTCGATGATGGCTGATTGCCTGATTGCACAGGGTTTGCCGTCAACCCACCAATCAATTGCTGCATTTGAATGGTCAACTGATGCACTTGCATTTGCAAAGCAGTGTTTTGGTCACTTTGGATTTGAAGTCCGATCTGATCGTTTAGCAAGGCAGCAGGAGACAACATTGGATTTGCCTTTGGTATCTCTCCTGCACAAGCGGACTGAGTTGGTGAAGGTGCCAAATGCAGCTCTTCACCATTGGTTCCTGTGGCAATGGGCGTCAATGCAAACGAAGGCAACGCGACCCGCGAATCTTGCATTGGTTGACCCTGGAATGCGACCGTGCCAGGATGGTAGGATTTAGGAGTTGCAATACTATGCACCACCGGAACCAATTCACCCATTCCATGAACTTTCCTAGATGGACTTGGCTGACCAACACTTTCAGGTTTCCTATCAACGAATGAGGTTGCCTTTGGCGGCGGACTACAAGGATGGATGGTGCTTGGTGCCCCTGGAGTACCACTCTTTGCAAGGGACTGCAACCTTTCATCTTGATCCTTGATCCTCCTCATCATTGCTTCCATTTGACCCCTCATTTCATTCATCTGCCTAGTGGTGGACTCTAGTGCTTTCTCCCTTTGGTTCAATGCACCGGTCACTTCAACCACCTGGTTTGTGCGATCAATCACTAAAGCCTTCAATTGCTCAATCTGGTTCTGGAAATTAGCAACCTCTTGATGAGACTGATTCATCAAACGGGTAGCTTGACCTTGGGTTTGACGGACCAGTTCATGGGCTTCTTCTTGAGACTGCTGAACCATGCTCCTGGCAGTGGATTCTACCGCCTGGATTTGAGACCTGGCTTGGTTTTCAATGGATTGAACTTGACTCTGGATTTGGGCTTGAGCATTAGATTCAATACCCTGGATCTGCTGAAGGGCTTGGTTCCTAAACTGACTCTCCATTGCTTGGACAAACTGAGCAGTCTGGTTCCTCGCGTTAGCTTCAACTTCAGAGGCGTATTGAATGGCTTGACCCTGCACTTCGGACACGACCTGGTGAGCCTGAGCTACTACCAGAGGGTTCAAATCCAAAAGATTGACTGATCTGGCATCTGTGAAATGAGACGACTGGTTGCTTTCGAACACAATCTGTCTTGCATCAATATGACCGATGGTCGGTTGTTGGTATTCAACACCCGTCCTTGCTGTAGGGTTTCCTTGATTACTTTGAACCATCGATGAGTGAGATGTTTCTGTCAGGGATGACAAACTCGTATCTTGGATAGGAGTTGCAATGGCTTCCCCAAACATGACAATCTGTTCACTCTCCGCATGCGCACTTCCTCCTGATCCCTCCATCGCTTCTTTTCAAAGATCAAACGACGTCTACTCGGCTGCAATGAAATTCTCAACTGCCTCCTTCGTCCAGCCGTCGCTCAACCAATTGGCGTATGGATACGCAGATCCGCTGTTCAAGCTCCTCTTCCGTGAAAGCTTAATGTGAATCCCTGTTGCCCTGTCGGTGGCCAAAGTGGCTTCCAACTCAGATAGGATATCAGCGTTGTCGTCGATCAAACAACAAGACAAGTGATCCCCCAACCGTTCGGCAAATCTCGAGATAACTGCAGCCTTCCCTGTCGGACCGTCCGGCTCGAACGTACAAATGATCCCGTCAAACAAGTGATGAATCCCTTCGCTGTTGCTCCAAATGTCCTTGCACGCTTGATAGTGCCCCGAACTCCCAATGAAAGAAAGAACGAAAACAAATGGAATACGCTCGTGATCCAATGCAAACTGTCTGAACTTCTCGACCGCCTCAATGTTCTCAACTCCCACGCGACCTGTCTGTCTGCAAGTATCGCTGTGATCCCTGTCAAGAACCTGATGGTGATCAACAAAAAGGACCTTAACCTGGCCAATGTCTGCAACTGCTCCCAAATGCACTTCCTGTGACTGCCAACGAGTATAGCGACTCTCCGCTGCCTCAAAGGTAAGGAAATGTACCGTGTCCGGCAGAACAATCGAGACTTGAACTGGCTCTGGCCTCCGCGGCGGTGCCTTTGCAAATGCCTTTGGCGTAAGGCCAATCACAGCAGGCGGTACCGGAACAGCGGGCTCAGGCCTAGGTGGCAGTGCCGAAGCAGCTAACCTATGCGCCTCCTCGAATCGAGCTCTATACGTTTGAAGAACCTCCTCAACAATCGTCACCCGACTCTGTGCGCAAAAGTTAAAAGACGTAACACCGTTCAGCAAATGCGGATGTGTCAACGCAAAATGCCCCTCAGCCACGCCCTGGCGAATGAACGCCCTCTTCTGTGCTCTGCCGCTCTTTCCCGAGCGAGGGAACCTCAGAAGTTTGTGGAGCTCCTCGTACTCGGGATGCTCCGGATCGGAATAACCCCCTTCAGGCGGGGGCGGACCAGCGGGTTCAGTCGAACGACGTGAACCAGAGGAAGATGCGATGGCTGCAACGACGGCCAACAACCGATCGCAAAGCGATACGGCTGATAACCAAAAGAACACAGCAGCCGCCCCTTTTTCCCACAATCTTGAGCCAAACATGTCCGGTGAAGTGAAACGTCAATGACTGGATCATGTGATGGCTACATTCATTAAGATTCCTATGACTTGCATGTCAAGTGATACAACAGTGCTTGGTGACACATCGAATGCAAAGCTTGCCTGCAGAGATGCTCTTTGGCTGTTCATGGACTGCTTCAAGGACTGCTTCCCCTGGCGTGCCAGATGCATCGACCAGGGTGCTTTGCTAGTGGATTAGGGGTGGTGGTTTCACCCCATGTCTCTCTCCTCTTCATGCTGACATCCCTAATGCTTTTTCAAGATATCGGGTACGATGGTCTTCCCTGGCCACAGGCTCCGTGCTTTTTCCTCTCATAGGAAGTCGCTTCGGCGAGACCGTGGCTTGAGGCAGTATGGCGAGCGTTCTTGAGGAGCCCAGGGCAGTGCCCAGGGCACTGCCGGCGCAAGGCCTTGCATGGGATCTGCTGTCTCGAACGGAGACACTCTTGTAGCTTTCGGCAATGAGACACCTCTGACAGCTTCAGCAGAGTCTTGCAACATCGCCATGCCATAACATCGAAAAGGAAGACCACCATTGGGTCCAGCAGCTGAATGTGGATCTGGATAGCACATCACTGGTCGCGCGCCGCCACCCAGAACTGGAGGGGACAAAAGCTCTTCCAAGAATGCACTGGATGTCGGCATGGCTCTGATTGTCATGCGCACGAAAAGCTTCCGGGATGTCAGCCGTGGTAATGATTCGATCGAATTGAATGTCTGCACATCAATGATTATTTGATGGAAGGACCAAGCGAGAAATAATATTTGCGCCAGATCATATTAAAATGGGTGCCTATGCTATCCAAAAGAATTGTTGTGATATAGTTATGAGCTTTCCAAGCAGCATACTTCGCGGTAGTCTGGGCTTGAGCTTCAACATGCTCGACAGCAAAGATTTCGCAATCTGATGTTGATGATCATATCTTGTTCCAAATATAAAATTTGATTTCCTCATATTGGCACTTTGTCAACTGAACGCCTCTTTTGGTCCAGCATCCGGCCCAACTCCGAGTGCAGCACGATGGTGTGCCAGCGCCTGATAGGTACATGCGATCCAACATGTTCTAGATTGTTGCATGGCTTGATTTGTGACCAGAATAGAATCCTGTGTTGACAAAGAAACGCTTCCAGTGGCCGTGGGTGGCGCAATCGTGCCTCTCGTGATCCTGGAGGAAAAAGATCTTGACATTTGACCACTCGGATGCATCCATTCATTCTGTCACGCACCAAGGCCTTGCATCGTTCGGCTGTGGCACTTTGTCCAACACAGCTTAGGGAACCAACGCCTTGGATGTCCAAACTCATCGAGAGTTATGTAAAAGCATATAAATGCATGATGCCTTTGTCAACCTCCAGGAACCATGCTACCAAGACACATACTTGTACATTGATGATCTGAAGAAAAGAAACACCAAATCAAACAATGGACGAGAGATTGAAACCTTGTACCTCGAAAAACAACTTGTGAAAGGGGGGCTCTAAACTGCCACTAGGCTATCACATACTATCACTATTTGGTCGCCTGATCCTTCTCCAACAGAAGCACTTGGGCATCTGTCATGTCCGCTCCGGTGGCAAATTCCACAGCGTCTCCCAAAGAGACATCTACCCCCTGGCGCAATGGTGTAGTCAGTCTGTTGCGCAAAGCTCCGCATCACCAATTGCTTGCACTGGGGGAAAGTCACAACTGCACAAAGCAAGTAGCAGCTTGTTGGGGTGACACCAAGTTGCTTCCTGTGCTCCTTGTACAGTGATCATTTCTGTCTGCTGTTGGGTGTTAAAACCCGTTCAAAAAGGGACGCTGTCAACGTTTAAGAATTACTGTAATGTTTAAGCTCCAGAATGTGTAAACCTCAGCACATTCGGAAAGCAGGATTATATAATTCTCATTTATGTTGAGGTATCACTAGGCCTTACTGACTTACCAATTTGCTGCCAAGCCTGCATCTGCAAACGGCCTGGCGCACATCCTGTGAGTCACATTGCGTCGCGCTGGACTTGCTCATGTTTATTCATGTTAATAATTACAGTATCAGTATTACTTACAGTATTTATACAGGCCGTTTGGAGATACCTCTGGGCTCCATAAGGCTGGGAGAAGGCGGGTTCCATTGCCTTCACTTTTTCACATCCTGCGCTCCCTGCGTTTACGATGAAACTATAAAGCTCCCTGCGCTGAGCCTGCACCGCTGCGCACCTGCCGTGGCGCTCGAAATCATGCCATGTCCACTGTCGATGCTTATGCTCCTCGCAAATCCGCTGTGGCCATGAAACTGAAAAGGACATGTATGAAGGATTGGTCCAATGGTTTCATAGTCGACCGATCCCATACCAAACGCTCACTCAGTGCCTCTTGGTAGGTCAAACAAGAGCACTCCCAGCATGCTCACAAACAAAACGATCCCAAATGCTGGAGCCTTCAAGGCTCTGTCTGACACTACCTTCGCCAAGAACATGAATGCCTCGCCCGGTGAAAGTTGCACAGCTCTTGCGCATGGGTGAGGCTACTCTGAAGCTTATGTTTGAAGCACGAGCGGCCAGTATGTAGTGAGACAAAGAGATTAAAGTTTGCTCCATGTGACCATGTGAAAACACTAGATGTCCGAGATGTCCATGAGAATTAACAAAGCGTCCTGTTAGGGAAGCCCAGTCCCTGGATACCTTGCTGTGTGTTTCTGCTGACTCAAGAAACTGCGCTCTAATTAGTGAGGATGTGCACGCTCGAGACAGATTCATATATATACAGAGATGAACATTTAGCTTTTGGGCCAAGTTCAGAAATCAACCACCTCGAATAGCCAGTTCAAATGGCTGGAACCTTGAACTGCTTGGCAGGGGACCAGAAAAGAAAAATACACCACAGCCTCCAGGTCTGTTCTCGCTCCAGATGCTCCGGATGCCTCGAGTGTAAAGCTCTCAAACATTCTCGGAGCAACGATGCTACTGGGAGTAAAGGGCATCGCTACTAGGAGCAAGGACGCTACTAGGGGCTCCTGGCATTACTGCTAGGAACAAGTAGCAAGGACGCTTTGGCTGTTGATGCTTGGCTGCCAGCCTCTGCTTGGAAGGGAGGCCTCAAGCTCGCAGCTTCGAAATCACAAAGTGCTCGGTCAACCCTTTGCCCTTTGCCAAACCATAAGGCTTTGTTCCTAAAACGTTTCGTGCTTTTAGTAATTCCATTTCCTGAGGCGGGCGTGCATTGTTGTGCAAATCCTCCGTCAGCATCTTGTCTCTTGCCTTCACAAGATGTGGCTCCCAACATCTGAGCCAGTTCTCCAAGCAGCGACAAGAGTGAGGGATCCTGAGGCTGTCGGCATTATATATTGGTCTGCAAATGTCAGGTAAGTCGGCAAGATTGAACTGTCACATGTCTCAAAGGTGTCCCAGTCCCGCGTGCACTGACCACAAGCTTGCAGGGTACAGTAGTCTCGTAAGGCTACTCATGGACTCATGGCCAGTGGGACTCAGGTTGGCCAACACCACACACACACATCACTATTCAACCTTCTTAGCTCTGCTGCATGCATGATCTGGCTCAGTCAAAGACTCAACTGTGTTCTCATCGAATTCTCCTTTCTCTAGGAAATTACACAAATTCCAGCTGTCGTGTCTCACGCCCGCCTTCAATTCCAAGCCCACCAGCAAGCCACACCCATGTGCAGCTGCCTTCGTCAAAACAAGGACAGTTGGACAAGCTACGAGTCTACGAGTATGTACTATATAGTACATTATGCCAGCCACCTTTGAGTAGTCCCGTTTGATGTTGCTTGGAGGAAAGCTCATAAATCAGCAGGACTGCAAAACAAATCCAAAGACATCACTGCCATTTCCCCCCACACCCTGAGGATTAACTTGTGGGGTTGTTCACTGAAGACTACAACTCAGCAACGCTTCACACCTGTCAGTGTTGGCAGCTAAAGGTTGCCACCACACTGAGGCATTGTGCACCATGCAGCTCCTACAAATCTGATGCACTTAGGCTGAGAATATGACCAAAGCCATGTCGAACGGCAAGCCATAGCTTGGAATGCCTTCGCTGCCAGCAGATTTATAGTGCTTCAGAGTGGTTCTATGGCGGGGATGTCGCAATGCAACTTGTGGTCTTGGTCATGATGGATCATGATGGCATGTGCGTCACATGTGGCTGTCCTTTGCTTTCCGGAGTCAACCATGACCTTCATTTGTATATGCATGTAATGTAATACACTGATTTACACTGTATATACTCACCCCTCCAGAACACATGTGTTTTGTGACAAAGCACAAAAGGCAACTGGAATACAAACCAAGGCTACAGAACTCGAGATGTTATTAGGGCATCGGCTCCTCTTGCCTGAATCTCTGAGTTGTTCCGCTTTTTGCACGACTTGTCATGACAGGCTCATATAGGTGTGCAATCAATACCACACACTTCAGGCATCAACCTTCACATGTCTTTGATGGACAGCTTGTCATATTCTGCGATAAGAAACAGAAAAGAATCACGACCGTCCTTTCTCTCTGTTACGCACAAGCCCGCAAGAAGCATACAACATAATATCACATAATATCAAAAAGTATCAAAAGGTACACAAATACACAAGAATGCAAACTTACGTATACAACACAGCCGGCCTCGCCAATCCTCTCAATGCCTTGACAATCCGTGTGCCCCGACTTTTCAGCTGTTTGACGCCACGGACGAAGGTGCGGAACTTCTCCAGCAGCCGCACGCAAGCGGCCTCCAGGTCCTGACAAGAAAATGTCTCTGGACTCTTGTGATTCAGGACTCCTGCACGTATTGCACAAGTGGTACCAGTAGATAGCTCTGCTATATATTGAAGGATGCTTTATATTCTAGAGTCTAATTCTCCCTGCAAGTGTCTCTACTTCTATGGACTTCAGTAGCAGCTTCGCAGTGTACTCAGTGCACTCAGTGTACATAGTGTACTCTTCATGTCCTCTTGCAAAGGCATATCGTCGGCAGAGCTTTGGATCACCATGCGTTGAAGCAACGAAGGCAGCCTGCTGCATTGGCTTGAGAGTTTTGTTTGTTTGGGTGATTTTTGAGCAGTCACCAAGTGACTCCAAGTGGCAAGTGGCATCACTTGTGCAAAGACAATTAGTTGGTTCTGTGCGATCCCAAACTGCTGGTCGTGCCAAACAAATCCCATCAATACATCAAGAAACATCAAGTTAACTGCAAAGAATCCACCCACAACGTACCTGTGATCTGGATCCCTTTGAGGTCCAGTCATTGATGCCAAGACCTGCGAGGAGATTGTGCAGTAGTCCAAGCGAACATGTCAGGCAGTCCCTTAGCAACTTGAATGTATCGTGCATCAGTTCCTTCCAATCGGTGTCTTTTTTAAATCTCTTGGAGGAGTCCTTCGTTCTGCGTGATACCAGTACTCCTCTTTAATTCCAAACGATCAATAACAATCCATAAGCAGCGCGAAGATGAACATCCATGCACATCTCCATGGAACATCTCTGTAGCCCCATGGCATCCCATGTTCTTTTTGTCTCCGAGGCTGGTTTGAGCACCACACCATCGACCAAAGGCGAGTCTCAGTCCCGTCGCTCACCACGCAAAGACGGCAGAGTCGACCTCGGCTTGGAGGCTCCGACACATCCGGTGGACCAGGTGCAATATTCACCCAAAGCAGTGAGTTCTCCACTAGGGGTGCGAACCCAACCCTTGCCTCTCATTGACTTTCAAGCCAAGCCATCGACGCACATCTTGTAGCAATGAGGCAGCAATTGCCTCTTGCGCACCTTCATCCTCGACCAGGTGCAAACCTGCACATTTATCTGCTGAAGCGATATGAGATGATGCGGGATGTAAAGACAGCGTATGACAGCGTTTTTGCTCGCCTTGTTGCCAGAATTGATCCATGAGCTCAAGGATTTCATGATCACCGTCATCCCAACCTCAGCACAAGGTGTGCTATACTCATTTCTATTGAATGCATTGACCTGCTCGGGAATGACACTGCTTTGCCTGTTTCCACAGAAGGGCATGCTGGGGGAATCCCTCGTCATGTTGCTTGTTGGTGGTGGGATCAGTCTGTAACCCAGAGTAGATGCCACAACTGGACGACTGGAAAAAAAATGAATTTGCCTAGAATCTACCTAAGACTTCTCCCAGCATTCAGGATTGATTGGTGCATTTGACAAAGCAAAGGCATCTTTGTTTCAGGTGCTACGTCTTCTGGGCACACTTGAAGGCAGTCTCTGAGCCGATTTGTTTGCATTTAGATGGCGGCCATGGCTATTAGGTTGGAGGCCATTGCTCTTAGGTTGGAGGCCATCGCTAGTAAGTTGGAGGCCATTCCTATTACTATTAGGGGGGAGGCCCTACAGACATGTTTCATCTATATACACTTGAGGCACACTTGGGCAAAGGCGATCCATCAGGTGTCGAAGTGTGACAATGGCCATGTTGTGTGAGCAGTTGAAGGAAGTGAGAGATTGAATATGCCCGAAGCACAGAGACTTGTTCTCAAAATCGAAGGTAGAAAGGTATGGAGGTCAAGCATTCAATAGAATCTCCAACATATCTGCTTAAGTACTGTACTAGTATGAACATATGTGTTAACCTTTATAGATGTGCTGATCATCCATCTCTGTGCTCCGAAAAGGGGCCTACGTCGCGGCTTCAGAGCCAGCGGTCTTCACATGGAGCCGGTATGGGTTGAAACAAAGCGGTCTTCACGTCGGTGACTGCATGCCATGTGGCATGCACCTGGACCATCCTGGACCTCAAGTGATCAATCAAATAACATAGGATCAACAACGGGGGAGGATACAAAAGAGAGCCAAAGGCCAAGGTCGGCCGAGGTGGTGGTGAGCTTAGTGATGACAGTTTCAATTTGACGGGGATGACATTGCAAAACTGAAGAGTTGAGGTGCAGGGATTGAGAGGAGCCCACCATGGTTCGACGACAATCTTCACAAACAGCCTCCAGCACTATATAAAGTAATAAACATAAAGTTGTCATTTCTATTATATTATATTATTCTATTCATCATTTTGTTGCCAAGGGGTTGTTGAGCTTGTCCTCGGAGGGCATGCAAGTAGAGGTAAACGGTAAACGGTGATGGTTTCGCTGTCATGGCATACGAAGTCTTGGGATACTTAAAGTACCAAATCATGAGGTTTGGCAGTTGCAACTGTTAAAATGTAATTGACCTTCTCTACTGTACCTGCATTTCTTGACCTGACTTGCCGTGTTGGGAACGCCAAACATGCAGCTTGCAAGCCATTTTCCATATTTCTACTGCGCGACCATCTTTGGCTCGTAGAATGTTTCCGCGCTGACGCGTCTTACAGATCATCTCGATTCCGCCGAGTCATCTATGCCGTGGCTAGTTACCACTTCGTATCCACGGATGCGTGGACATGGTCAGATGATGTCAAATGTCAATTTTCAAGTTCATGCATTGCGACATGCACCCACATGCACCCTTGCATTGGGAACTGACACCAGTTCATGAGTTTAAGCCTATTCGTGATCGTGACCGAACTACCAAACGAACATCATCTTGTGTCATTTGACACTCTCAAATAGCAAAGAAGGAAATCTTGACATCTCGGTTGGTCTGGCTGGAAGGGTGTCCAACCTACCAAAGCTGGAACAGTTTTGCTGTTGCACCGTGTCTACTGCTGTTATGCAGTTTGCTAAAGGCTCACTCCTCGGTCGACAATTCCTTCAAAGGTGAGCGAACTGACCCATTCTACAGACTCTTCCCTTGCCTCCGAAGGCTGATGTAAAGAACTGCAGCAAAATCAGGAAATGCACGCATTGTTAAAATCGCAGAAAGTACTGCCAGAAGAAGCTAATGAACATAAAGAAGAAGAATATCAGCTGTAAAGTACGCACACGCTGTACACTTCCCTGCCTCAAAAAAGTATCGGCCAGTGGCCTCTTGCCAGAACCACCTCTGGCCTTGAGGCAGTCAAGTTGCAGCAAAATACCCAAGGAACGACCAGACCTACAAGGCTCTTTAAGTCATAGAGAACCGGGTCCTAGTAGCGTCCTTGCTCCTAATAGCGATGCCAGGAGCCCCAAGTAGCGTCCTTGCATGAATAGTTCTTGAGGTAGAGAAGTTACAGTATACAGTATACAGTTCAGGCCTTCTTCTGTGAAGAACATCTGCCAGCCATCTTCCAGCTCGTCAGGGTAAAGAACCTCCAATCAGGCATGGCATTGAAACACCCTTCTACATTTTCTGTCGACATGTGCGGCACAAGATGCTGCTAAGAGCTGCGTGACTGCAACTGTTCTCAAAAAAATCACACATGGATTGGAGCTTGGCTTAGGGGGTCAGGGAGATTTTAAGGAAGACTTCAAGCAGAAAAAGCAATCCAACAAGTAGCAGTAGTAGCTTCTTTCTTCACCTACTCTTGAACCTATTTTGATAACATCACAGCTCGACCTACAATAAGCGGGCGTTTATTTTGCTCCATCTCCGGAACGCAGTATGAGAAGGTCACAGGCATCTCTGGCCACTGCTCCAAGGTGCCTTGCCCAAGAACCTATGGTGTCTTGCTTGGACATTTGATGGCAAAAGCTTTGACTGACTTGAATCCTTCTGTTGGAATGCAGGGAATTGCTGACAAATCTGGTTTGCCCTTGTAGATAAGCAACCTTGATGAGGAATCTGAGGAATCCCCTGCCACATGAGTCACAGAATTGGGGATGACCTGTCTAAACTGCATGAGTGTCGAGCAGTGGCGTTTTTGGGCAATGCTGGGCAATCCCTGCCCCATGGTGCACTCCTTATGCTTGTTCCTTGGATTCTCGTGGCTCAAGCAGCCTTTTGACCACCATCAGCTGCATTGCTGTGTCTGCCGCAGCTAAGCCCCTAAGCACTACCATGGCCAAACCAATCTGACTCAACCTCCACAAGGAGTGAGTTGGCTTCAGCTGCAATGCTTGCAAACCTCACTTGCCTTGATTCTGTAAGAGCTTTTGGTACTCCTGCATATCACTCGGCTTCAGAGTAGTGAAATTGAAGCAACGCACACTATATATTCCTGAATGGGTAGATGCTGGCATAATATCAACTCACCAGTCCTTTGAATCCCTTGGATATCACCTGATGGATTTATTCTAATCTATAGAAAACAAGCTCGTCCTCCGGAGTGTTGAGCCGAAGTGACAAGGCATGGAGGCGTCCAGAATCCAAATCTTCTCCTCAGACAGCACCATTGTTCGGGTGTCGGGTGTGCGCGGGTATCCCAAACGTCTGTTGACCTCCGGCAACTCAACTAGGAGCAAGGACGCTACTAGGGGCTCCTGGCATCGCTACTAGGAGCAAGAACGCTACTAGGGGAACTAGGAACAAGCAGCTACTAGTAACAAGGGCATCGCTATCATCGCTACTAGGAGCAAGGACCACACATAGAGTTTGAGGCAAAATTATTCAGCTAACTCCTCTACTACCGGCCTACCCCTCCGTCCCCTACCGGTAAAACAAAACTCTTGGACGACTGTCTGTTAAAGTCCAGTCCCAGACATTCTCAAGTTGAAAGAGCCCGAAGCGACACGAATGCAGGAACTAATGTTCGTACACCATTGTCAACTTGCCTTCTCCGTCTCAAACAGATTCTCTATGATCCCCTGCGCCACCACTTGGCATTAAATTCACACCTGCAATTCCTTAGTGATAAGGGTCTGGGCTACCTCACGCAGCAAGGCTTGAACTTCTCGCTGACGGTTGATGCGGGTCTTGTTGCCTCATGTTCTCCCATGTTCTCCCACCATCAACACTAATTGAAGGCTAAATGGATGGTGTGTGGAGAAACGGGGTCAGCAAAAATCGCTCATACGAAGTTAGTGCATCAAAAGTACCTTCCACAAAGTTCTGCGAAGGTTTCTGCGATTTTGTTGCAGTCAGTTCTCCTACTTGCGCACCATTCCACGAAATGTCCATGAATAGTCCCGGGTTCTACGAATGTCCCGCGCCTTCCACGATGTTGGTAGGATAGGTTTTTGCAAAACCCTTTCTGTGCACTACTCTTCCGTTTGCCTCTGACTAATGAATACGAATTAATACTTGATTTTGCAGAAATGTTGCATGCAAGGACAGCAAAGAGTCTGTTTGCTGGCCCTTGGTCAGAAACTGTGCCAAATGTTACCAAAATGCAAACTCAGTGGCTGAAAGCCGCGCTCACCATGACGATTGCCACCTGGGCGAAATGAGATTGGCAAGCATTGGTCTTTGTTGCCACATAGTGTCACGTTGCCCCACTGATTCTTTGTTTGCCCCACATCGGTTGTAACACCGAGAAGTCCACGCATCTTTGGCCCAGCTCTCTACTTTGTTTCTTTGGGGAAACAAATAACTCGCCCTGGAGCTGCCCTCCCACAAAGGGCCCAGACCTTTGAAGCGCCACAGGAGTTGCCTCAAAGATCAGGCAAGTTGGCAAGTACTCTTCCCATGTGTCCAGCAATATTTGACGATCAATAAGTTGCTTGCAGCGATCAGCCCAACGGATCAAAACAAAGTGCCAGGCTTTTGGTTGGTGTGCACTCGTCAATGCATGACAAGCGCCTTATATAATAGATATAATACTATATTACTATATGCCTTCTTCATTATTCAATACTATTCATCTATATTCTGTGCAAATTTAACCGCCTTGATCCTCAATGTCCAAGTACCTGGAGCCAAGGTCTTAAGAGTCAGCTGCATTTGGATGTCAAATTGTACAAATACTTGCACCTTGTTACTAGTAGCTTCTTGTTACTAGTAGCGATGGCCTCTAGTAGCTTCTAGCTACTTGCTGGCAAGTTGAAGCCCCTTCTTCCCTTTTTGTCCACCAATGGGCAAGTGTCAACAGCAGCTGCTTGCTGCAACCGCAGCGCAGGTGCAACCTCACTCTGTCACCTTTGCATCTGCCGACTTCACTGGTTCATCTGTCACTTCCTCCACCTCAGCCGCCTCAGCTTCTACCAGTTGCTCTGGCCCTGAGACCTCTGGTTCCTCTTGCACTTCAGCAGATTCCTCCTCAGGCGCCTCGGCCTCCGCGTCCTCCGCAGCCGCATTGCCTGGTGAGTCCAGATCCACGGCGGAGCGCGGAATGAACACAGGAGCCTCTGCATTGAAACTACTAGCACCCTCACCACGAGCAGCCTTTTCAAGCATTGCACGCACTTCTTCTTGGCTGGGCAGGTCCCCTCGGTCTTCCTTACCTTTCTTCGGTGCAGCTCCCAAGCCCAGTGCACTTAAGCCAGGTGGCCCCACCGGTGGCACAGCCACAGTCGGAAAGAGTGAATTGGCCTGCTGCTCGAGCTGCAAGAGCCGCTCCGTCAAGGCATCCAAGGCACGTTGCTTCGCGGCTCCGGCACGCAGCATGCGATCCACCTTCTCGATTTGTAAATCCACCTGCTCAGCCTTTGGTGCGGGTTGCGCATCAAGCTTTCGTCGAGCCTCGTCAAGGGCATCGCGATGGTGTCGCATCAGGTCCGAATTGTGGTTGTGAGCTAGGATCGTTCGGTGCAGGTCCTGCTTCAGAGCTTTCACCTCTGAACCCCATTTCTGCTCTAACTGTTTGATCTTTTGACTTAGAAAGGCACGGTCAACGGTCACAGAAGGATCTGGGGAGCCTGCGCTATTCGGTCGCCCACAGCGCTCTAGGCGCTGGGACAACTCGGTGATGTGTGTCTCCATCTGCTGTAGTTGAGAGCGAGCGACATTGAGCTCATGCCTTACACGTTGCTCAGAGTCCTTCTTGGCCTGAAGGATCATCTGCTCAACCTGCTTGCCAATGGCCGATGCCACATCACCATGGAGTGACCCCGCCATGGCGCCCCCAGGCCCCGGGCGCCCCGGGCCCCGACACTTCGGGGTCTCGGAGCCCTGGACTTGAGCCACACTCGAACGGTGATGAACAGGCGGAGAACTGTGCATAGTTGAAGTTGCAAGTTGACTTCAAGGCAGAAAGGAATGTAGCTGGGTTTGCAAGTGGAAAAACAATGCTCATAATCTCAATGATACCTGACAGAGCTGTCAAATGATTCAACAAGTTGAATCTCGCCACCCTTCGTGCGCACAATGGGGCGTATTTTGCGGTCAAGCGACGCCGGATGTCCTTCAAGCCAAAGCCAGCCAGCAACATTATATACCATACGGGACAAGTCAGCAGTTTGCATGCCAGAGAAAGGATACTGTGTTCATATATTGTTTCAAAGTTGAAGAGGATCACCATACCCTTTTAGCAAAGCAAAATGCACGTGCAGTCGTAGTGGAATCATTGGCGAAGCTGCGACACCCCTGCTCTGCTGCGGACAAGACAAAGAACACTTGACACACATCGCCGCACAAATGTGCCGTTTGGAGGTGTTTCTGTGTTTCTTGGTATCCACTCAGTTGTTGGAAGTAAGTGAGCTTTTCTGACAAAATACTTGTGGAGAGGAAAACATGAAGGTAAGGGCCCCTTGAAATGGGGCATTACTAAAGGAGCTCTTACCTTCTCTTTTCCTGTGCCTGCAACTGCTTATTGCAACCCAAATGTGGATGGACCTCCCTTCCTTACCACGCGAAGCTACAACAAAAACAACAAATAGAACATGCGTGCAAGATCGCATACACCTCACGCACTCCAGGTAAGGCCCCTGCGCGGGCAACACACACTGTCCTCCTCCAGAGAAAGGCTGTTGTCTGGGCCTCCAGGAGGCTTTCCAGCCACTTCCAAGGCTGCGGCCTTCTGTGCTGCTAGGCCTGACTGTGGCCCTTCTCCCGAATTTTGACAGAAGAAACACACCTGGCAACACCTGGGAACCCAAAACACTAAATCAAATAGGGCATGTTCCGTCTCATCAGCACTCGTACTATCAGTCTGATAATGATGAATTGTGACAAAACATAATGTGAATTACCATAACATATTGGAGGAGATTGACTCCCAAGCAAAAATATAAAGTAGGATTTGGCAATTGTGTCACAGTGATGAAGGAGAGTCCTTGCAGTGAAGATTCTCGTTGCTTCATTCCCAACCCATCCGAAACACAAAATATTCCAAGTGCATGTTCTCGACAGCTATTGAAGCCTCAAGCTTCATTTACAGCAATCAGGCAGAGAGAGAGAGAGAGATGGAGAGAGAAAAAAGGAGGGTATTCCAACCGGCTTCCAATGCTTTGTGCTTCAACCAAAAGTCTCTGGTAAAGCCTTGTCTGGTGGGACTGGAAGGAATGATATAATTACTGGTTTAGTCCCTCAATCGTGAATCGGATCGAACACCCTTTGACTCACGGAACGCACCTGTGAGACCGGCAGCCTGGAGGCTTTATCCCGTCGGCAGCGGTGGGTCTCTGCAGTCTGAGTGGTTGGCATATATACTGTATATATATATATAAATAATCGACGTGTGTTTCAAATCTGTAGACATAGCACGACATAGTGTACATAGACACGTTAATCCCATGAAAAGCCTATACTCTACATTCTACATAATAGATCCTAATAGAATGTTATAAAATGTTATGAACATCCAATCTAATTGTGGCGATTAATCCGATTATGTATTTAAAAAAATGTGATTCTATGGTGTCCCAAATTTCCTCTTTAAAAAGTAACCAGTCAACCACGCTTACAATCATCCAAACTAACAGGCTGCCCTGGAGCTCCAGCCTTGGCTGCTTGCAGTGCCACATCCTCGGGTGAAGCCTGCTGCACAGCTGCCTGCGGCCTGCAGGTGGAAGATCCTTCTGCGCCCGAGAAGACCTCTCGTTTTGCTGCTTTGAGAGAGCTTTTTAATCAGGACAAGTCATACCAGCTATGATTTTTGGATGTTTCCCCGTGAATAAGCAAGGCCTTCCATTCCCACTTCTCACACCTCAAAGTGCATGCGTATAGAAATAGAGTGAAACCTCCAAAGACCCATGGGAAGACCAAAAAAATAAAAACGTAAAACCCAGTGGTTGGTTGGTCCCTATTCCACCAGTGCAGGCCTGGCTGTAGGCTCTGGTGCCACCTGAAGAAGCGAGGTCCGGCTGCAAAGGTCCACGGCGACCGGCGGTCCACAACTGAGGAGGACAAGCCCTTCATACCAAACAGAGCTACTAGGAACAAAGGGCATCGCTACTAGGAGCAAGGAAGCTACTAGGGGCTCCTGGCCTTACTACTAGGAACAAGAAGCTAGTCGAAACAAGAATTCAATAGAATTAGAATTTAAATTGATCTAAATTCAATTAGAATTTAATTAGAATTGAAACAGGAAGTGTCCAAACAGAGCTTGGGTCCAGTCTAGTCTAGTTGTGTCTAGTTTCGATATTTTTTCGGTGAAGGCTCTCGTTTCCAGCCACAAGGCCTGTCATCGAACCAAACCTTATCCCAGGCCTTCACGCTCTGCTGGCTTCGATACTTCAGAAGCGCTAAGACGGCCACTGCACCGAGAGATGCAGCACCGACCTGTTGGTTCCGATCTGGCAGAGCAAAGACACATTTCAGAACCGTTGTCTAGGAGTCGATACACTCATGAATTCTGTCACATTGACTGCACTGCTACACTGCTACACCCCCTGTTGCTCTTTTTTGGTGCCTTGATGATACTATGCTTGCATATTGTCAAATCAGGGACTGCTCGTATGGATCCTGCACTCTGTCTGCTCATGCAACTTTCACGTGCCTTCACCACCCACGAAGGCACTCCCGATTCCATGGTGCTGATTCAAGCTCAATAAACAGTTCAGTGGCATGGCTTTCTTACAAGCAGCTGTCATCCAGAATGCAAAGAAACCGCCAGTTCTGCAAGCAGATAAAATTGCTGCACTTAGAGTTAGAGATCGGGCAGCATGCTAACAGTGTGCTTAGAGATCAGGTGTGAACTTTCACTTGCCAAAGGCTAGAGCCAAACATGTCAGGGAAGCGTGCACGGTGCATTGTTGTGACACCTTGGAGACTGAGAATGCGATTCTCGTGCATGCGGCGACGATAAGTCGCACCTCCTCGGTCTTGGGGTTCCAGAACCAAGGTCTCAACGTCACCGGCTCAAGAAAACGTTCCCAAACCTGAACAGGCCAAGCTGAACAGCAAGCCTCAAGGCTCTCTGTCATCTATCTGACTATCTGACTCTGTCAGGTGTTGCTGAGATGGACATGAGCAAGGGGCCTTGATGAACAACAAATCAATGACAAGTGGCCAATCGGAAGTTGGAACTGCATCACCCCAACAATGCGGCCACCAGTGCCATCCTCGCCTCCTCTTGTGATGACGAGGTAGCTTCTGTGGATGCAGACCTTGGTGATTCTTTTCTGAAAAGGCGGAAGGCAGTGCCTTGGTGCTTACCACTGACAGCATACCATGCATGTAACAAATGCATGTACACACAAGTGTGTGCGAATTGGAGAAGGAAACAAAGGAAGAAACAAAGGACCAAACATGACAGTTGTCTCACGGTCGATTGGATCTGTGCACAAATATCTAACCGTATCTAAGTTAACACTGGGCAGTTGGTGTGCAGGACCGAGTATCATGGAATATGTCCAGTGTGCCAATTCTACTTAAATTCTATATTATAATAGCTTCTTGTTTCTAATAGCTTCTTGTTCCTAGTAGTAAGGCCAGATGCAATATGCTCAATCTCATTTTCTGGCCCCTGTTGCAGACAGCCTGACATTCGAAGAGCGCTTTTTGTATCGTCGTAACTTGCGCCAAACCTGGCATAAAAAGGGCGACTTAGATCTGGTCTTGATACCACCTGCCCATAATTCGTAATTAGTTCCCAAAAGCCATTCTAAGTGCAGCGCGGACATTCGGTTTCACTTAGTTAGCACGGCTTCAAGGTCTTTTCTGTATAGCTTTTTCTATTTGGTACATACACCCTGACATCTCACCACACTCCCTGGTACCCACCAACACGGTGAAGGGCCATGGGAAGCGCGGACGCAGTGCGCAAGTCTCGTCAGTAGTAAGGCCAGGAGCCCCTAGTAGCATCCTTGCTCCTAGTAGCGATGCCAGGACCCCTAGTAGCGAACATGGTTCCTAGTTCCGCAAAAACAGTCATCGTCAAAAGTTGCTTGTAGTCTTGTGTGGCTCCTGGCGCATCTGACTTACTCGCGTGTGCCTCGCAGGGACAGTGCACACTGACAAAAGCTCAGGCTATTCAGGTCCTTTCAAGAATCGGCCTAATTATATACGCACCACTACGACAGAATAGTTTGCAAATACAGTCAAAGGGAATCAAATTTTGAGAACTACTACTCCTCTTTATATCCCTGTAACCAAATTGCTCAATGGTCTTATGTCGCATCAAGTTCCCGTGCTGAGTCACCCGATATGCTAACGGCTTGCGTGTTCCAGCCAGTTGCAATTCCAGCACAGAACTCAAATGGGTACCATGTGACACGAAACAAATGTTGAAGCTAGGTCAGCGTGGTTCTTTGGATCTGGATCTACTAGGAACAATGTTCGCTACTAGGGGCTCCTGGCATCGCTACTAGGAACAAGAAGCGATTAGAAACAAGAATTAGAATGATAATTTAGATTGTATTAATTAACGCAGGTCAACGTTGTTCTTTGGATCCGAATCCTAGTAGCGTTCTTGCTCCTAGTAGCGGTGCTAGGAGCCCCTAGTACCGTTCTAAACGTTCTAAATGCACAAAAGCCATGGAGCACTCACGCCTTCGCGACATCAGCATAGGGCGAATCTGAGGAGAATTGGTCTAGTAGCACAGCAAAATAAAGGCCAACTGTAGTCGAATAACTCAAGCAAACAGCCATGGATTCTCTTTTGATAGGCTAGACGGCTAGACATCAATGTCCTTGAGAGATTCTGTCACAGCTCTTCACCACAAAAATGGGGAACA